AAAATTTAAATATTCAATATTTAAATTAATGAGTTGCAGTTAAATTTTAAATATTTATTTAATTAGTTTTAAAGTTATTAATTATTCAGTTTTTAAATTATTATTCTAATTTTTTTACTGATATTTTAACGTTCCGTTTACGTTTAATTTCTTAAAAACATCCGAAATTAAAATTATATTTTAAACTTTAATGGTATTTAAGTAAAGTGTAATCAAATTTATTAAAATATTTAAAAAAAAATAATAAAAATTTTACAAATCGTGTTTATATGAAAAAATCCTTTTATGAATATCTTTAATTATGTTTAAAGATTTAGTCTTGCGCTTATAAGAATCATAATGAAACTAATTATCCTCGAAGAACTCAATTAAATATCGTAGTCTGTAACCTTTTAATTATCGAAATCACTTTTTTTACTTTTATTATTTCTTTATTAGAATATTATCTTTAGGAATTTTTAACACGAAAGAAAATAAATTAAATGTAACTTAATCAACGAGAACAGCCAGAAAATGAAGCAATAATGAAATGTAAACAGTCAACGACAGGTGAAAAATTCTTGAATTTCAAATAGTATAATTTTTAATTATTATCAATAAAATTTTGTTCCTCTCGGAAGCTCATGCGTAAAATGACAATAACGATAAAATAAAAAACACAAAAACATCTGCTTCACTTTCGTTGTTATAGCTTTAGTTTAACTGCAATTAACTTAGGAAATAATCTACAGAACTATTAGTAGCAAGAGACAGATGAATAATTTAAATCTGGGTATAAAATAAAATAAATTTCTCTATCATAAAGGTTTAAATAAAAGGATAAACTTTGAAAAAAAATCTTAGAAATAACCATTATGTCTAGAAACAGGCATCAAAAAGCAGATAGTATAAAGTAAAACAGATTATCAGGTTATGTTATTAAGATATAGATCTACCCATTAAACAATTTTCATTTTTATGTATATATTAAAAAAAATGGAGAAAAATATTTTCAAGCTTACATAATTTTTCGAATTTTGCATCAAAAGCCGAATTCAATATAGATTTTATATAGATTGACTTTATACAGATTTCCAATTGGAAGCCATTTAAAATATCTCATCTAAAGATCAATCAGTAAAAGAAACATCCAGGCAACGCTAAGAATAAAAAAAATATGTATAGAATATCTTAGAAATTTTGTAAGGAGGCAAAAAGAAAAACGAACAGCACATCCATCATTCGTTGAATGGGATATGTGAAGTAGAAAGAAGCGACGTAGGAGCGCAGTATTGCGAATCTGTTTCTCATCAGATCGTATAACATGGTTCTTCAAAAGGAAATCAACTTCCCATATATGTCTCATGATTCTTCATCTGGTGTGAAATAAACGATGTGTTTAAGAAAAATAACGGTTACTCTGCATTTCCAACGCCAATATTTTATCACATTCAGCAATTCGGTAATATTTTACGTGCTACCATTCTGTTAGATGAACCACTTAAATGCAAAGAAAGTGGATGGTTGCAGTCAATGCAAAATAACTCAGAGCTTCTTTCGCTGATCGTTGCCGATATAAAAAGACTGTAATATATAATGGTGTAGTAGAGTAATAAACTTCTGATGCATCCAAACTCTCGTAAACATCAAAATTGTATATGGTATGGCCAATCGATTATGGGGTCTGTATTATGCAGCGATTCGCCACTTACTTCAATTTTCTCTACTGCTCAATACAATAATGTAAATCTTGTAAATTAATTGTAAAAAAAACTATAATTACAACATAAAATAGGATATTATAAAGACTATACGAATAGATCAAAAACATTTTATTAACTTATTAAGCATTCTTCATTTTTTAAACTTTAATTTTAATGATAATCTTCAAAATATCTGATTTAAAATGTAGAATTTACACATTTTAAAAAATAATTTTCAAGTTTTTTTAAATATAATTCACGATCTGAAACTAGATTAAAACATGTAATTAAGAAGACCTGTTTCAGCTTAATTACGAGTATTTTATATAATTATTAATATAAATTAAAATATAGATAATAGGTAAATAAGCTGTTTTTATAATTATTTATATTAATTTAAAAAAAAATCATATATAATTTTATAAAAATATAGGTTAAATTCTACTTGTTTTATTAAGAAATTCTAAATTTTGTATCCGGTCCATAATAACAAATCTATATAAATTTTTTTAAATTATTTTTTAAAACTTTTATTATATTCTGATAAGTTATTATTAATTATAAAAACATGTTTTAAAATAATATAATTTTCATAATTTGTAAGAGTTTTTTAGCAGGTCGACTAGGTGTGGTTGAAATTTATTAGAATTAGAACAGTAGTACACTAATTGAATTGTATATTGCATAAATTAAAAGTTTTTTTCTTGTTTATTGTAATACATATTTTATTAATTTAAATAATAAAAAATAATAATTCATATTTAAATAATTGTCATGACTTCTGAATCGAATTCAATACTAAACACGCTAATCGATATAAAGAATTTGAAACATGATTTATAATTATATTGATTTTAATATAAAAATTGATTTTATAAAATTTATTGGTATAAAATATAAACTAATTTCTTCTTTATTTAGAAAAATATTTTGCCACCGAGACAGCAAGAGAGCACAAGAAATCATTACGTGTTGAGAAAGTGGATTAAGAGTGATGATGGGAAGACATTAATCACGTATTTTTTTAGTGTTTTAGGTGAAGTTTCACGAGATTGTTCGACATTAATTTTTTTGATCGATATCTAAATAAAAAAAGTGGTAAAAAATCAGCTAAAATGTAGTGTAAAAATATGGAATCTTAGATAATTCTAAGACAATTTTTTAAATCCAATTTGAACATCTATTATTATCTAGAAATTTATTTAGAAATTAATTCTTTAATTTTAGTTTTAATAAATGTAAAAATATATGAAATTTGATATTTAATTAATAATTAATAATATATAAGGTTTATTTATAAAAGCTTTTATATATTTGTAGAGTAATATTTAATCAGTAAGAAGCTTACTNGAAAGACTGAATATCTACTTTAGGAAAAGAAAAATTATATAAATTGGATTTATTAACAGTCAATGATTAATGTAGCATTTTATACTTGAATAAATTTTAATTTCGTGATTTAAAAAAAAAAAAAAAAAAAAAGATTTATTTCAAAAATTATAGATTTAAATCTGAGATTTTCAGGCATTAATATTTGAAAATTTAAATATTTTAGGCTGTGCAATGACTATTTTTTAAAGATAAATATTGGAAAATTTTAATGAAATCTGAAAAGAAAATATTATTACGGAGGAAAAATGTATATAAATAACACGTTTAAAACATACAAATTCGTCACAAAACTCGTAGGCATCCCTAGAATAATCGTATAAGCATTTATAAAAAATGCATTCGCATTTACAGATTTGTGTTTTTGTATAATTTCTTATCTAAAATTTACAAGAGATGCTTTTACAAGCAAATACTCGGAGGGGTGTAGAAGCATATCTTATCCAAGAAGATTTACTTTAGCAAATGGTGTTGTTAGTGTCACCACAGGTATCTGTTATATTTTATTTTATCCGTTAGTGAATCGATTATTCAAACATTCTCCCTCCCAGCTAAATAGGCATCTTCTAAAGCTAAGGCCAACTTGTCTGCAGTCAATATTTGAACAAAAATATTCTTAATAGTTTCTTAAATAATTTTAATGCCGAAATGATAAAATTATGGATTAAATCCTTAACAAATTAATAACAATTAACATAAATATGTTTATTCATTATTAATTTTTTTATATTTAAAAAAATGCGATTTATTATAAATTAATTAATAAAAACGTCTTAGAATATTATTTTTATAATTGATGTGCAATTTGGCTAATAATTAAAGCAATTTTTTTAAAGTTTTTCTTTATTTATATCTTCAAAATTTTGACTTTTTAAGAAAAAAATATTATATATACATTATCTTTTAATGGTTCTTTCTCAACTCTTTAAGATATAAAACCTTTAAAAAAAATGTAAATATTTTGTAAAAATGTTTATAAATAATTTAAAACTCAATATTATTTCTCTATTTTTATAAGATTAATTAATATTAATCTCTTCTACTATTTAATACTTTTATAAATTAAATATAAATATTTTAAAACGAAATATAAACTATTTAAAATGTTGTTTAAAATATATATTTTACACTTGATTTATTCTATATAAAGTTACTTTATAAGTCTTTAATCATATATTTTGTCTATAATTATGAATTAAGCTTATAAAAAATAAACTAAAAGATTTTACATCAACGGGAATTATGAGTTACATAAGTATTTAATTTCTAATTTTATGTATCTTTAATAAATTAGAATTGAAATTTAAGCGAAAGTTTCTTCTTAACAAAATTATTATCGATAATAATTATTATAAGTTAATTAGCTGATAAAGATTTAAGTATTTTGTTGTTGAAAATGAGGATATTTTTCATACTAAAGAGAAAATTAATTCATATTATTTTTTTAATTGCTGGCAAAGATATGTTAATTGTATTCAAGCTGGTAATTAAAATATATTTAGCACCTTTAAGTGAATGGTGCTTTTTTTAATAGGACCTAAGTTCGGGAAATTAAACGCCTACACTTCATTTCTCTCTCTTAATTTGCTATTAGGATTAATATACATCGTGTTTTGCGTAAGGATGAGTTGATTTAGCTTTAATTAAACAGCAAAAAATGCGACTCTAATATTCATCACTGTAATCGTTTTTAAATGCTAATTGATAATTTTATTGCATCAACATTTCGGGAAAAATTCTATAAGTCAAAATTCTATCAGGGACCTTATCAAGTTACACCTATAGGCTAAGTCTAAATTAGATCCGGTTAGTTAAGATATACAGAAAATGAAAATATTACTCTGTTGAAAATTAATATGAGAAAATTTACGAAAATCTTATATATTTAGAATAAATTTGACTTAAATTATCTTGAAAAATTAGACTTACCTGGAACTCTATCCTTTACCAGACCTTGAGTAGCGTGGCCCATCCATGGAAAAGCCGAAGCGTACGATAATGGAGTAGGCCTGTGGGCCGGCACGCGAATGACAGTCCCATTTCCACCACCTTGAAGAGGATCGTAGGTGGTCGCATTTAATACAAACTTGTCCCCCAAGTACGTTTGTCCCAATCTAGTAACTGGAGAAGAGGTGCTAGTAGTGATAGGAGGCGAAAGACCCCCGTAACAACCACCCCTATACGTTTCACATTGAGTACACGAATCGTCAAACGAAGAAGACGAAGAATCATCCTTCTTATCGTCTCTGTCTTTACCTAATAATCTACTAATGCTAAAAGAAAGCTTAGGTTTCGAACATTGTTGAGGCGAAGAAGGTGAAGAAGTGCCGTCGGGCGACTTACTACCAGTCAGATCGAGACTCGACGCCGACACGGGTCTCTGTTCAACAGTTTCGTCCATCGTCAGTGGTCCAACATCTCCGAAAGGACACACCAGAACTTCCTACACTTGCGACAAAAACAAAGTGGCGTAATATAATCCCGTCTACAGGCCGAACAACCTGACTTGCCGAACCTCTCCGTTGCTTTGGGATAGATCTGACGGATCTTTGCTGCTATTGGATGACACCGACTGAACTGGATCCGGTAAGCAATTACGGAGGAAGTAGTTGACTCCGCCCAAAATTGTGATTGTACAGCGGGAATACCGGGAATTCGTTGGCTTTACTCAATTGATTATTACAATAAGGAAAGAACCGTCTTTACTTGTATAACGTGGCATCGAAACTGGTCATGAAGTGACTACGACAAATTTGTTTGTCTCCTTTTTCTTTTTTTTACTTTTTTCCTGCGGCTACTCACACTTAGGTTAAGGGAAAAGATAATCGGTTCCTCTTAATCTAGGTAGGTAGGTCGGAATTTGTCAGGAAAATAAAATGAAAATTAATCATCAGCGTTTTAAACTTAATTTGTTTGTTTATTTCATTTTTCTTGTAAATAAATAATTTTTTATAATGTTTGTAGAATGTAAGAATGTAGTTTAACTTTAATTAATAATTTTATAAATCAATTTATATTTCTAAATTTATTTTTATAAGACATTTTTTATTGTTGATGAAGGGAACATCTCAACTTTTCTATTTATCTTAATTGGTTAAAAGCAAAAAATATAATCGACGTTTATTTATTATTTATAGAAATAACTTACTTTTTTAGCTAAAATATAAAATAAGCCGTATTAATGTCACTAATATCATACTTTAAGAAATTTTAATTTTAAGAAAAATTCTAGCGAGTTTTAAAAATAAAAAAATTAACTATTTTTATTTATTAATAATTACTCTTACTAAAAACTCTACATTAATTAATATTGATTTTTATTATATAATAATCATAATTAATAAGTGAATTATTATAAAAAAATTAGAAATTTAGATTCGAGAGATGAATCAAGAAAAATATCCTTTTTCTAGTCAACTCTTCTCATCCATCAACTTCCATTTCTTATAAATATTTGAGAATGTACGACTAAAAATTGTTGAAAGATTTCAAACTGTCGTCCTGCTTTGCTGACGTAAATTTACATTTCAACTATCATAAATTATTAAAAGATGAGCGGAACGAATTATAAGATAGTACTTTATCCTAACTATTGTTTTAGTAAGAGCAAAAAACATATTATACAATGTTTTAATAGGGCTTACATATATTTAGAATTTTGTAAATAGCTTTAGTTATTAATTTTTTAAAATTAGATAAGTGCAGGAGTAAAATATTGTTCATGTAAAGTTTTTAAAAAATTAATTGGTTCGGTACTAGATATGTTCCAGTAAAGAAAAATTTATAGATTGTAAGGAGAATAAAAATAAATAGCTTTATTTTAAAATTTAAAACGTGAATTGCAATTGCTTAGATAATTTATAGAATGCACTTTAAGGGTTAATAATGACGAAGTTACTGTTTAAATGTTGATCAGGTACTCAAAGAAGCAATTAGTGTCATCGTTATTGGTAGAGTACGCCGTTCACCCAAAACTGTCATGCTTTGTTTCATCCCTAATCCAACAACCAGGTGGAGGCGGGAGGATCCAGATGGTGCTTCTCCATCACGACACGTGCTGCACGTGGCTTATAATGGGGCACGATAGGACTTTTCGACGTTTCATGTGGCGACAACTCGGTGTACAAACATTATCTACCTCTCGTGAAAACAGCAGTTAATATTGTGTCGTGCTTTGATGATTTTTGTATTTGCTTCGGAGATTTTTAGGATTTATGAGCTTCTACGAGATTTAATGGTTTTTAGTGTTATTTTTTTATTATTTATGTTATTTACTTTTTATTGTTTGTTGTGTAAATGTCTAATGTTTATATTTAAGCAAGTATATGTTGTGTGTTTGTACATAAATCATCGATTCGAACGAAATGATAATTTTTATTATTTATATATTAATTTATTTAGTTTTTTATCTTTAAAAAGGCTTGCTTAAATGAAATAAGTTTTTAGCAAGCGTTTAAATTGGGAAAGTTACGCGTAAGATTTGTTAACTGTTCTCTCCATTATAGGCCCTATACGAAAATAATGGAAAAATTGGGTAATTAACTTTTTTGAATCCATTATCGAATCAATTTTAATGTAGATCCATTTTAAAAAGATTAGACTATATATTCTGTTTTTTCATTTTTTTTAAAGTAAAAGATGAATTTTAGGCTATTGCTTTGAAGAGGAGTGCCTAAAATGGATCATGAATTTTTTTAGGTGCGGCTTCACCTAAAGAGAAAAATGAACATGCAATTTTTATTTTATTTTATTATTATTATTATTTTAATCAAGTACAACATTACAAAAATTTACAATTAATATTTAGATACTTTAATGCAAAAGTTGCATTTATCTGTTATTTTCTATACATTATGAGATAATAAAGGAGTCAAAGAGTATTCATTCACTTCGACTCGTTGTTATCTAATAATGTAAGATGATGTTCTTTCGTTTAAGCTTGTCTGTTTTATTTAATTTATTCAAAATGTACAAATTATTATATAAAATTAAAAAGAAAATTGACCTTTAAAAATCTTTCAGGAATTCATACAATAAAAAGTAAATCAATTTTCTTAATTTTTAAGATAAAAAAAGTTCTTTTTTTTAATTGAGTTTCCTATAACATAATGGCATTTGATCGCTTATACGAGATAAAAAATGATCATTTCCAAATCGTTCTATTAATCGATTATATAAAAATATCACAAGTCAGTAACTTAACTTTAAAAAATTACAAAGGTGATAGACCAATTATTTATATATATCGATAAAAAGAAAGTTCTTTTAATACTCGATCAAAACTGAATATTTCGATTATTTTCCATTAATATTATCTAAGTGACTGAGAAGTGCACAGGATTTGGGGACAGATTAAAGGGCGTGAATTAATTTTGTTGCAATGTCACTAGGGAGTAGCGTGATCAAGACTGGAACAGTCCCGCCCTCTGGTTGAAAGTCGTTCACTTAACACTTTGGTTGAGCAGTTTAGATCTAGGCAAGTTATAAATTGGCTTTTTCTTCCAATTTCTCTTATTTTATTATTATTAATTTTTTTTTCCTCTTGCAATTTTTTAAAATAAATATTAATATATTATAATTATAAAATTATAATTGTTGTAAATTCGATAGAATTTATAAAACACTCCATTTAAATTTCGTAACATATCATAAATCTATGAGACTTTATAGAATGAAGATTTGTTTCTTCTTATTATTCTCATCCTGATGTAACAGTTACAACATGTCCTCAATTAGTTCTCATCACTCTATTTTAGCGCATTTATCTAGGGAGCGAGCCCCTTGGCCATTTGTTTGTGTCTGAATCAAATTAATGATTGTTTCGTCTTCATACATCTCTCTTGATGATTCCAACTAGTATGAGCATCGAAGGACATGACAAGTTTACGGATGCATCAGATAACTGCTGTCATTAATGGAAAAAATAATGTTATCGTTAAAAGAATCGTTTTTCCAATTCACTACCTCTAATGCCAAAACTCTTTAACTCTATGATTTGATACCTTTCTAATTTTTTTCTTTAAATATATTATGAAATATACTTTTTTTAAAGTTTAATTGACATATATGATTTCCGTTGATGCTCCAGGCAATTTATTAATCGCTTATAATTATATGTTTCATTATTTATTGCTTCGTAGAATAATTTTTCGGTTAATTTTAAAGTTATAAATTCAGCTTTCGAAAGTTTTTATAATAATTTTAAATTAATTTATTCGTTTAAATTTCAGATTATTCACTGTTTGTACTGAAATAAAAAGATTTTTTTTGTTTTTTTACTATTTTTTAAACGAAAATTAAAATCTAAAATCTAAATCTGGAACTTTTAATAATTAGAAAATTGTGTGACTTGATTAAAAATATATTATTGGTAAACAGATTTTAAAAACTAAAATATTTATTTAGCTATTTCTTACCTTAAAAAATATGAAAATAACCAGAAAACAACAACAAAAAAATCTTAATGTTTCCAGAAAAACATTTTCGTTAAATTAATTTAAATAAGCAAATATCTTATTTAAAAAATCACTTTAAAAACTATTTTCTAAATTATATATCTATAAAATTCAAAAAGTCTTATTAATAAATTCTCTAAACTAAAACGTAATTCTTTCCTTTGTTTTTCACATCGTCGATTCGAATCCTAGTCAAGGGTTCGAACCTGTACTTCAAGTACTGTACACATTTTTAGATTTTATTACAATCAAGAAAGCTAAACTTAAATGATATTTAATATAAAAATAAAATAAGTATTTGCTAATTTACGATTAAAAAGTAGCTTATATACCTATTTATTTATACAACAAAAACTTTATCTTATATTATCTTAATTTAAAAAAATTTGAGATTATCAACATCTTAGTTAAAATATAATTCATTATTTATGTTTGTTGATTTCAATCTACAAGAAAAATTCTGATAAAGATTTGTATAGACTTAACTAGCAAGTCACGACAACGCCCTAGAAAAGTTTTATTCAAACAGAAAAAAGAAGGGGAAAAAAAAGAAATTATCTAAATTAGACTTTCAGATTATATCTTTATTTACTCTTGTTCCAAAACAATTTGAAGGGATGTAAATTATTTTGAATCCATTCATACCTCAACTTGTAAATCATTTAACATCTTACAAACTTGGAAATAATCATTTCTTGCCAGACTAATTTGTAAAGCTAAAAAAAGACATTTAAAAATTTATAATTCTCAAACGCCTATTTGCATTACTGTACAAAGAAGAGAAAAGTTCCGAAAAGAAAGTCATTAATCGTGAAAACTGCTGAGAAAACAACCAACCACGCTCGATGGAGCATATAAGTAGTCCATTGTAAAACAAATCCACTTGTACCACCTACAACTAACATTTATCTTGTGCAGTTGTCTCGGAGGTAATTTCCTTGCGGTTCTTTCTCTCTCCGCTTCGTTTCTGGACGGAGAACATTCGTTAAAAGAGCAGGAAGGGGGAAAAAACCATTGCCAGATTAC